TTAAAAATGTGAAGGGATGGGGTATCTGTCTTCTAAAATCAGTAATAGATGCTTAACTTTGTCAACTGTCTTTCTGACATCTACTGATATAAATCAGAATTTTTTTGGTTTTGTTGTTCTTAAACTGGCACTGCATTCCTAAAACAAATCCAGTTCAGTCGCAGCCACAAGTCAGTAACCCTGGGTGTGTGTTGCTATCTGCTACCATTTTATTTAGAAATTATATATCAATGTTGACAAGTGAGATTGGCCTGTATTATCAGATCTTAGGATTTAGGATTAAGCCCATATCACCCTTAAAGAATGCAATTGACTATCATGCCATCTTGTTCTACAATATAGAAATTGTGAGTTTTTTGAAGATTGAATATTTTTTCTAGCAAATCCTTTTATTCTAGCTGCTTTTATGGGGGAGGAGAGAACTTTTTTTTTTTATCTTTTATCACATCAATTATGCCAATAGAAGACTGACTTCGTTGACATTTTTAAAGAGCCAAATCTTGATTGTAGTTATGGGTTATAAGGCATTTCCGATTTTAAATAATAATAATAATAATTATTATTATTATTATATATTTTTTGAGAGAGAGTCTCACTCTGTTGCCCAGGCTGGAGCACAATGGCGTGATCTTGGCTCACTGCAACCTCTGCCTTCTGGGTTCAAGTGATTTTTGGGCCTCAGCTTCCTGAGTAGCTGGGACCACAGGCTCATGCCAACACATCCAGCTAATTTTTGCATTTTTAGTAGAGATGGGGTTTCACCATGTTTGCCAGGCTGGTGTCAAATTCCTGACCTCAAGTGATCCGCCTGCCTCAGCCTCCCAAAGTGCTGGGATTACAGGCGTGAGCCACCACGCCTGGCCAGTTTATTTAACAATCTTTACTAATTTGTTATTTTTTAGTTTGCTGCTTTACTCTTTTTTCACATAATTATAGTTGTCTATTTTCTTTTTAAGTACTTACAGGAATAAGATTTCTTAAAACTGACAGACCACCTATATGGTATTTACATTATTTAAAAATAGACTTTTATGGTAATACTATATATATTTTATTATATTCTATATGTTTTCTCTAACTCAGTTGCTATTTAAGACTTTTATTTTGCCATTAGCTCTATTTTAAAATTACTTAAATAGTACATGCATGAGGTGAGAAAGTTAAACTATACAAGGAAGAAGGCAGTCTTCCTTCCACCCTATTTCCAGCCTTCCAAGTTGCCTCCTTAGAGAGACTCGCTGTTACCATTTTCTTGGGTAACCTTCTGAAGATAATTCATGTAGATGCATGTTTATTTCTTTTACAAAAATGAGAGGACATTATACACTGTGTTCTGTGTCTTGAATATAAGCCTATATAAAAGAATTTATCACAATTTTAACATGGCTTAGTATTTTTTAATATATGGCCTTTTCTTTAAATTTATCTTATTTTTTTGGAGATGGGGTCTCACTCTGTCCCTCAGGCTGGAGTGCAGTGGCACCATCTCGGCTCACTGCAACCTCTGCCTGCCAGGCTCAAGCGATTCTCCCACCTCAGCCTCCCGAGTAGCAGTCACCACTCCTAGCTAATGTTTGTATTTTTGTAGAGACAGGGTTTCACCATGTTGCCCAGGCTGGTCTTGAACTCCTGGACTCAAGTGATCCACCCAACTCAACCTCCCAAAGTTCTGGGATTACAGGCATGAGCCACCACACCCAGCACTTTTATGTATTTTTTATTTCTAATTTTATTTCATTATGATCGATTCAGGTAGTTTTATGAAATTTCTTTTTGTATTTACTAGCATGTACACTGTAACATGATAAATGATCAATTTTATGAGTCACATAGCTTTTTTATTGAGACATTCTCACTCTTTCACCCAGGCTGGAGTACAGTGGCACCATCATAGCTCACTGCAGCCTCGAACACCTGGGCTTAAGCAATCCTGCCTCAGCCTCCTGAGCAGCTGGGACTGTAGGCACAGGTCACCAAGCCCGGCTAATTTTTAAAAACATTTTTGTAGAGAAGGGGATCTTGCTCTGTAGCCCAGGCTGATGTCAAACTTCTGGCCTTAAACGATCCTCAAACGATCCTCCTATCTTGACCTCCCAAAGTGCTGGTATTATAGATATGAGCCACCATACCCAGCCCACATAATCAAGAGAAATATACTTTCAAAAAAGCTTATGTTTAATTTTCTCTAAATCTGTTAATTCTATTTTACAAGTTATTCAGTTTAAAACTGACTTTTTTCAGTATGCCTGATCTTTTATGATGGTGTAAAAAACACTTCCACCAAAATTATGTTCCTATTTCTACTTACATATGTATTTTGTTATTTAAAGTATGTAGAGCCAATAAAGTTTTTTCCATGATTTACTGTGCTTTTAACTGTCTTTTTTGCTTCTGAAATGCATTTTAGTGTAAAGATCTACTTTTTCAGATAACTTGAAGTTTTGGCTTTTTTATGCATATGTAGTGGGAGGTATATACATGGTAACTTACAAAATAGTCTTGTTTACTTAGGTCATTTTCCTTGAATAATTTGGAATTTATCTTATCTAGGACCTAAACTAAAAAATGATGTGTTTCTATTTACAGTTATATTCCCATCAATTACTTAAAGGGTTTTTTCCTGAAGGGAGAGCATCTCACCAGCACTGAGGCCAGGAAGGGGAAGGCAGATATTACTGCTTCCTTCTTATTTAGTGCTCTTGAAATGCAGCGGAGGCCAGACACGGTGGCTCATGCCTGTAATCCCAGTGCTTTGGGAGGTCGAGGCGGGTGGATCACTTGAGGTCAGGAGTTCAAGACCAGCCTGGCCAACAAGGTGAAACCCCATCTCGACTAAAAATACAAAAATTAGCCAGGTGTGGTGGAGCATGCCTGTAATCCCAACTACTTGGGAGCTTGAGGCAGGAGAATTGCTTAAATTTGGGAAGCGGAGGTTGCAGTGAGCCTAGATCACACCATCGCACTCTAGCCTGGGTGACAGAGCGAGATTCTATCTCAAAAAAAATAAAAAAATAAAAAATAAAAATGAAAAATAGTGGAACATGCTCCCTAAAGTGGCAGGAACTTCCAGTGCTGGCTCAGTGACATATTATGTAGAATACACTTTGTAATGATGACAACTATGCCAGATTGACCAAAACTGTGAGGGTGTTTCATTTTGCTCTTCTCTTCGTACCTTAGATAATTGTCTGTCTGCAAGATCATGTTTTTCACCAAACAACTCCGTAAGTCCTGTTCATCAAACATATACACACTACTTATAAAACCCCCATGGCATTATCAGCCTAACAGTTCAAAAAACTTGTCACCTTTCTATATGTATTTAACACAAATTGGTATACAAACACAGGTAAATATACATGTCTTATCAAAAATATCTTAAAAGATTTACTTGTAAACGGACAGAGATTATGAAGTCCCCTTTCCATAAGATTTTTAGACCCATGGCTTTCTTATATAGCAATAAAGCATTACTGAATCACAACTTCATAAACGCTAACTGTACAAAAGGAGACAACTGAAAACCACATCGTTTCTAATATTACCACTGAAATTCACAATGTCAATCTTCTAATTCCTCCTGTGACAGTCTTCAATGTATCCAGTTTCTTCAGGCTTAAGGAATATTCACATCTCACACTTATGAGAAACATGAATGTTTTATTCCCTTACCGCAGTAAATAAACTAAATTCCCAACAGTGCACTCAGAGTTTCAAGCTTATATATCTCCAGAGAGGAAAAAAAAAAAAAACAATTGAGGAAAACTAAATTTAGAAAATGAATCAGGGTACTAAATTAGTAAACTCACAAACAGAAGTTTCTAAGAAGGACTGTAAGAAAGTGACATGCAATTAGCTAACCCTCGGCATTTTCCTACTCCTCACTCCTGCTTCCAGACACCACAATGCTGCCCAAACACAGGGTCACATGAACACAACACTTTCCCAAGTTTGAATCTACACATTTGATTACATTAGCATTTTATGGACTAATATCCACTTTGGCCTCCATGCCAAGGATAGAGCTCTATTAAGTGAGACTGTGATAAAACAAGGACTCCTGTCAACCCACACCAAAGCCACTCAAAGGAAGTTCAGAATGAACTGACCTTCCCACCTCATCTACTGAATTATGTTACAGTGAGAAGGAATTAGCTACCCTGCTGTAAGAGGCTGTAATTATCCTATCAGTTCCTCTATAAAACAGTTTGGTTGGTAACCAGGAATAAAAACAGCAACAAATGGATTATTTTGATGGTGTTGATGGAAGAGATGCTAAGGTATCGCTAAGAAGCTGAAAAAACTTAAGTCCTAATGAAGGATGGAAAAAAGGATGGAAAAAGGACCAAAGAACCATGACACTTAAATTTCAAACACCCACTGAGATCTGGACATGTACTGGTAAACTCTCCCAAACTCTTCAAAAAATACTAACAATTGAATTCACCATTTTCATCGAACTCAATCACTAAGTGCATCCCCCCAACTTTTTTTTTTTTTTTTGAGACAGGGTTTTCTCTGTCACCCAGGCTAGAGTGCAGTGGTACAAACATGGCAACCTCCTGGGCTCAAGCAATCGCCCCGCCCACTGCCCCCTGTCTCAGCCTCCCAAGTAGCTGGGACCACAGGTGCATGCCACCACATCCAGCTCATTTTTAAATTTTTTGTAGTGACAGGGGTCTCACCATGTTGCCCAGGCTGGTCTTGAACTCCTGGCCTCAAGCAATCCTCCCACCTTGGCCTCTCAAAGTGATGGAATTATAGGTATGTGCCACTGCACCCAAAGTACCTTTTAGTATTGAAAATTAAAGTAACTATTGGCAATGCTTTAATTAGAATTACTTTACAGATATGAAAACAGGAAGATGAAATTATCCCATGTCTAAGGCTGCCCCCTATAGAAAGGGTTCAGTATGTACACGGCGACACCCATTCACTTACACCAAACTGAAAGATGGATACTCAGGGAGAGCAAACCACTATTGAATAATTCTTCTGACCTGCAGAATGAGAACGAAGTAGTCTACTGGCTTGTTGCGCTGGTAGAGGTAGTATTCAGGGGCTTTCTTGTTCTTCTCATCATACTTCAGTTCCTGGATGACATTGGGGTGCTTTAGCAGCCTTAGAAGGATCTTCTCTGACATCTGGGATGGGCTAAATGCTTCTACTTCTATAGATATAAACACAACCTGATATTACATTTCAAACGGAGGGAGAAAAATTATACTATTAATAGTAATTGAGGTGTTTAGATAAGAATACTTGGAATCAAAGTGATAGTATTTGGATGGATGAGGCTTCCGTTTGGTGATCCACTGGGGACAGATTACCTGGGAGAAATTAGAAAGTGCGGAATTCTCACGTTTTTTCCTATTACTTCTTTCCTTTTCAACCCGTCATGGACTTCAGTCCTCATAAAACTATACTAATTTGACTGACAGAAATGAAAATCAACCGCAAGCGGGCTCCTTGAGTGCGGGGGATGCCCCTCAACAAGCCATAACAGTCTGACTGTCGACCAACAGCCAAAGGAAGAAGCCAAGGTCAGGAGCATCGGGTGCGGTTAGTGCCAGCACACACACACGGGTGCCCCACATCTCCCTCTCCCACTCAACTACCCCGAGGAATGTGGGGAACAAAGAGGGCTGAGACTGGAAATAAGAGCAGGGCATGTGCACACATCAACATGCTAATTAAAAAAAAAGTAACGTTCAAAAGTATTTACAAAGATAGCAATTTTATTTAAAATACAAAAACAAAAATTACTGACTGAAGGGTGCTATCCTACAACTGGACTGTATGATATCTCAGAAGCAGAGTAGGAGATTTAGTTTTAGTTTTTTTTTTTTTTTTTTTTTTTTTTTTTTTGAGAAAGAGTCTCAATCTGTCACCCAGGCTGGAGTGCAGTGGCGCGATCTCGGCTCACTGCAACCGCCACCTCCCGGGTTCAAGTGATTCTTCTGCCTCAGCCTCCCATGTAAATGGGATTACAGGCGCCCACCACCATGCCTGGCTAATTTTTGTATTTTTAGTAGAGATAGGGTTTCATCATGTTGGCCAGACTGTCTCAAGCAATCAGCTTGCCTTGGCCTCCCCAAGAGCTGAGATTACAGGCAATGAGCCACCATGCCCAGCCTAGATGTTTAGTTTTAATTTGTGGTTCTTAAATGATGAGGAACGGTATTATCAAAACTAGAAAAAGAATAATAAGTGAAAGACATTGTCTGTTATTTTCTAATTATGTATTTATGAAAGCTGTAAGTTCTGTATTAACTTGACTTTTTTGTAATAAGACAGTCATTATAGGAATTTTAGAAAATACAGAAAAAGAAGAAAGTAAAAATTATCTATAAGCCAACCACTCAGATTACCATTCTGAGCAATTGAGTGAGCATTTCTTTCCAGTGCCATGCCTAGGCACGTGTGCTCATGTATCCATGTGTGTACACACAAAAACACAACTCTAATCTTAAAGTACACAGTTTTAGATTGTTTATCCCCACTTTGTATTAAGTTATGAATATTTTCTAATGTGATAAATATTACATTGAGCATTTCCAGGCTTCTGAGAACGCGACCTTAAAGAGTTACACAGCATTCCGTCAGGTGGTTGCGGCTAGCCTTCTTAAACATGGTTTAAGTCTACTGCATGCAGATGAAAGGCACTGGCTGCCTATCAGGGACACTGATGTCTTCTAAAGCCAATGGATGCTTTAGACTTTCTCACACTTCCCCTGGCCACCAGAGCTCAACCCTGGAGAGCATCTGGGGATGGGAGAAGGGTTGGTCAGTATCTTAAGTTCATTCAACGTTGACCTCTCTGGAGCAGTCAGTGCCGGCTGGGTTGGTGGTTTAAACAACATGAACACTTGCCTCCTGAAATGGACTCGAGTTAATCTGATCTGAGGAGGGCATCAAGAAATCCATATCAAAGTTCTTAGAATTTGATTTCATTAAAACCATAAAAGATAAATATTTAATTGTGAAAACCTAGTTTTCTTCTTTGCAAATCACAGCCCCTGTGTTACCACTGATGTCCAACTGTGCTTCCAGGACAAGCTGAAGAGAGATTGGACTCAATTGTCCATCAAACAAGCTGGTGCCAGGCTGGCACCATCAGCCTGCTCCGCCAGCTGGCTCTCCCACAGACCTAGCTGGAAGGAGATGGCCTGGCCTACTGTTCACATGCAGTGTGGCACTAACATTCATCCTTACCTTTCAGACCAATTTTAAGTTACTGGTCCACCCCTGGTAAATGTCTCAGAGGGTTCATGCCGACACTGAACATAGGAGAGGAGAGAATTTAAAAAGAAAAAAACAAAACAAAACAAAAAAACAAAAAAACAAAAAACAAAACACAAAAGTGGCATTACTTATCACCCCATTTCCCAGTGTCCACCCCCAGCCCACCCCAGTCAGTGGTGGGTGAGAAACACACTCCAAGGTTGGTAGAGATCTCAAACTGTGATAAGCTGCACTTGCCTGTTGCTAGGAAACGGTGCATGGCCAGGAGGAGCTGTGGTGATATTTTAACCTTCATCTCGCTGTCTGTCTGCTTAAAGGCAGAAAAATCTTGCTTTCGTTCCCGGTGAGCTACTTTCTTTTTTGTTCTGTTGTCAGCTAAGGGAGGAATGAAAAGAGAAAAAAAAAAATAAGAAAATGCATCCCATGAGATCAGGGCTCTTTCTGAATGAAAAAGACAAAATATATTGGAAGGGCTGGACTGTATTTCCAGATGCAGGCGCTCTATGCACAGATGCCACAGGGAAGGAGGAAGGGAGGGCCAGATCCTCATCAACTCAGCACAGCAGCCTGGGCACCACGTAGTCCGCAGCGAGTGACCACAGGCAGCCTGATTAGTGAATGTACTTCAGGAAGGTCTGCAGAGGGCCCTTGTGAGCATAACATCAGGCAAATGCTGACAGAGCCTCTCACAGGACCCACAGAAGCATATAGCAACAGGGCGTGCAGCCTGGAGTGCACAGTCCACTGCTGCTCAATGTCACCATACTCCAGCAAAGGACTACCACTGTGTACACACAAGGGAGGAGTGTCCCTACCTGTAAGAGGCCCCTCACCTCTGCTGAAAGACAACACACAAACGAAAACCCCTTAAGAAACAAACAAGAATGCTTTCGCAGAGCAGTGTTTTAATAATATCTGTTTGCTTCACTGCTACTCCAGACCATGAGATCCTCAAGGTCAAGCAGATGTGAATGGGATCCGGACAGTGGTCCGTGAACTTCCTCTGAAAAGGTCCAGGGAGTCAATATTTTAGGCTCTGCGGGTCTACACAGTCTCCACACTGCTGTTTAGAAGGATGAAGGAGCATGGCTGTTTTCCAATCAAACTTTCTTTATGAACACTGCAATTTGAATTGCATATAATTTTTGCACGTCACAAAGTAATTGTTCTTTTTTTTTTTTTCTTTTCTTTTTTCTTTTCTTGAGATAGGTTCTTGCTTTATTGCCCAGGCTGGAGTGCAGCAGCACAATCGCAGCTCACAGCAGCCTCAACTCCAAGGCTCAAGTGATCCTCTCACCTCTGCCTCCCAAGTAGCTGGGACTGCAGGTGTTTGCCACCACGCCCAGCTAATTTTTAAATTTTTTGTAGAGACAGTCTCACTATGTTGCCCAGGCTGGTATTGAACTCCTGGGCTCAAGCAATCCTCCTGCCTCAGCCTCCCAAAGTGCTAGGATTACAGACATAAGCCACCATGCTGGCCATTTTGCAACAATTTTAAGATGTGAAAAGACATTCTTAGCTTGCAGGTCACACAGAAGCAGAGTACAGGCACTCATCGGCTGTGGTTTGCCAGCTCCTGACCTGGAAGGTACCTCCTGCAAAACCATCTTTTAAGTACTTTTCTGGACAAAGTAATGATCAAGAAAAAAAGAGCTTAAAGACAAGACCCCAATCGCTTGCTCCTTCCCAATAATTGAGTCACTGCATTATTGTTTCTTGCATGGAGCAAAACAGATTGATTACTAGGCTTTTCCTGAGAAGGCGATCACAACTTCTCCTTTTCGTCTGCCTCAATTCTTTTGAGAACTAGACAGCAGAAATCAACACAGAATTTAAAAATAATTCTAATGGCAACAGCTGTCACTCCCAATCTCTATCCAGATCAAGAATATACCTGAAATCGGCCAGGCACGGTGACTCACGCCTATAATCCCAGCACTTATGGGAGGCCGAGGCAGGTGGATCACTTGAGGTCAGGAGTTTGAGACCAGTCTCCCCAGTATGATGAAACCCTGTCTCTACTAAAAATATAAAAATCAGCCAGGCGCGATGGTGGGTGCCTGTAATCCCAGCTACTCAGGAGGCTGAGGCTGGAGACTCGCTTGAACCTGGGAGGTGGAGGTTGCAGTGAGGTGAGATCGCGCCACCGTACACTCCAGCCTGGGCAATAGAGTAAGACTTAGTATCAAAAAAAAAAAAAAAAAAAAAAAAAAAAAGAAAAGAAATACGTGAAATCACAAGTCCAGCATCTTGAGCCAGTAAGTAACATTAGGCAACACTTCTGTAGGAAATCAGTCCAATCAAGGCTTAAAAGAAGTTAAACTAACATTTGTATAAAACTGAATTGCAAATACAGGATCTCCTAAATGGTACATCGCCTTTCTAATGTTAAATACCACCCCTGGGGAAAAAGAAATACAGAGACACACTCTTTTTTTTTTTTTTGAGACAGAATCTTGTTCTGTCACCAGGCTGGAGTGCAGTGGTATGACCTCTACTCGCTGCAACCTCTGCCTCCAGGGTTCAAGTGATTCTCCTGCCTCAGCCTCCCGAGCAGCTGGGACTACAGGTGCACACCACCACGCCCAGCTAATTTTTGTATTTTTTTAAGTAGAGATGGGGTTTCACCATGTTGACCAGGATGGTCTTAATCTCCTGACCTTGTGATCCACCTGCCTCAGCCTCCCAAAGTGCTGGGATTACAGGTATGAGTCACTGCACCCGGCCACACTCAGTTTTTAAATAGTCATTTGTGAGGAAGGATGAAAAGAACATAAACACACAAATAATATTCTCTGAGACCTCTGATGACCCTCTAAGTGAGGAAAGGATAAAACAGATGTGGGAAAGGGTGCTTTTTAAGAACGCTATTCGGATGTGAGGATAAAACAGGATATGTTTTCAGAAGACAGTCATTAGTTAAATGTAAAATTTTTTCTTTTGTGGGTACAGGGAGGACTTTCTCAGTTTTATTTATGTATTTATTTATTTATTTATTTATTTATTTTGAGAGAGCCTCACTCTATTGCCCAGGCTGGAGTGCAGTGGTGTAATCTTGGCTCACTGCAACCTCCATCTCCCAGGTTCAACAGATTCTCCTGCCTCAGCCTCCCAAGTAGCTGGGATCACAGGTGCGTGCCACCATACCCAGCTAATTTTTGTATTTTTGTAGAGACGGTGTTTCACCATGTTGGTCAGGCTGGTCTCTAACTCCTGACCTCAAGTGATCCACCTGCCTCAGCCTCCCAAAGTGCTTGGATTACAGGGGTAAGCCAACACGCCCAGTGACTTTCTCAATTTTTTTTTTTGAGACAGAGTCTTGCTCTGTCACCAGGCTGCAGTGCAGTGACACAATCTCAGCTCACTGCAACCTCCGGCTCCCAGGTTCAAGTGATTGTCCTACCTCAGTCTCCCAAGTAGCTGGGACTACAGGCACGTGCCGCCACGCCCAGCTAATTTTTGTAGTTTTAGTAGAGACGGGGTTTCACCATGTTGGCCAGGATGGTCGTGATCTCTTGACTTTGTGATCTGCCGGCCTTGGCCTCCCAAACTTCCTCAGTTTTAAAATGTGGGATGTTTCCTTCTAGCAGGACTGAATAAAAAGCACCCTGCTTTGAGGAAAGCAGACTTTACCCTGAATGACCAGCTTGTTGGGAAGCTGGGATAGTCCATTTCCCCTCCGGAAGACATGCTTTAAAACCAGGCAGCATACACGGAGCCCAGATGCTCTTTCTCTATCCCACCCCTGGGACCCCCAAACATCTCAGGCCTGGGCCATCTCTGGCTTTGTGGAACCCTTGAGCATTGCTAAGGGTGCGGCCAAGGAAGATTTAAGCTCCACAGTCCAGCAATCATGTTTTATACTTTAATGAGACAGGACTCAGTTCAACACTCCGTTCAGGATCAAGTCTACACCTGGGCAAATAAGGTATCCATACTCACCTCACCCTGCCCTGATCTGAGCCACTCCCCACTTTCACCTTCACCAAAAGAGAAGGCAGAGAAGCAGAGAACAGGAAAAACACATTCTTACTGTGAACCCTACCCTATCCTGCTTCCCACACCCCCAACCCGCTGCCCCAGCAAACTACACTTGCAAATCTCACCTCCAACCCTGACCCAAGGATTCTGGAACAAGAAAGTATAAACAGTTGTCATCCATAAGTTTAACAAATCCCATTCAGTTGTGGTTTTTTTTTTTTTTTTTTTTTTTTGGAGACGGAGTCTCACTCTGTTAACCAGGCTGGAGTACAGTGGCGCAACCTTGGCTCACTGCAACCCCTGTCTCTTCGGTTCAAGCAATTCTCCTGCCTCAGCCTCCACAGCAGCTGGAATTACAGGCATGCACCACTACCACTATATCCAGCTAATTTTGTATCTTTAGTAAAGACAAGGTTTCACCATGTCAGCCAGGCTGGTATCAAACTCCTGACGTCAGGTGATTTTCCTGCCTTGGCCTCCTAAAGTGCTGGGATTACAGATATGAGCCACTGTGCCCGGCCTCCCATTCACTTTAAAGAGTACTTGAGTTATGAAAAGTACAAACAGAAGTTTATCTGAAAACAATATACCTAGTTGTATAAAACGAAATTTTAGTAGTTTTTTTTTTCTTTTTTTTTTTTTTTTTTTTTTTTGAGGCAGTCTCGCTCTGTCACCCAGGCTGGAGTGCAGTGGCCAGATCTCGGCTCACTGCAAGCTCCGCCTCCCGGATTTACTCCATTCTCCTGCCTCAGCCTCCCGAGTAGCTGGGACTACAGGCGCCCGCCACCTCGCCCGGCTAGTTTTTTTGTATTTTTTAGTAGAGACAGGGTTTCACTGTGTTAGCCAGGATGGTCTCGATCTCCTGACCTCGTGATCCGCCCGTCTCGGCCTCCCAAAGTGCTGGGATTACAGGCTTGAGCCTTTTTTTTCTTTTAACATATGTAAAATAAAATTCAAAACCAACAGCAGTTTTCTGTTTAGGACAAGTAATGCCCTCATCAGTGGTTAGAAGCAGCCAGAACAATGCTGTCGCTTGACATTACAGGATATGCTCCTTCTGATAAAGGGATTGGAATATACCAACAGGTCATGCACGGCCTACACACGTCATGTATCATTATAAACAGAGGCAGCAACTGGAGAACTGTCAGATGACTCACAAACAGCACAACAAAAAAAGCAAAGGTTTCGGGAAATACACTCAGACAGTGCTACTTACTGTATAAATCTGTTTCATCTAGAATCTCAGATTTGATGATTTCTTCAATCACATCTTCTAAGGTGACAATTCCCAGAACTTCATAAAACGGATCTCCTTCTCCCTCATTGTTTACCCGCTGCACGATAGCCAGGTGGGATTTACCTTTAGAGAAAATAAAAAGTTTAGGAAGTGACTCTCTGAATTTCCTGAATGACATGTTATATGTAATACGGTAAAAACATCAGCAAACACAGATGCCGAATTACCAAAATCTCTGTTTCAGCATTTTAAAACTGTACTGAGATATCACAAACAAATGGAAGAACTTCATGAGCCATTAAAAGGCAGGAAGTTATGCCAGAAGAGTGTCACCCTCGACATACATGGCACTGCACCATTGTTCTCTGCTTCCTAATGGTAATGTCTCTTCGTGCATTATCTTTCAGCAACTGCCACCTAAAGAGAGTGGTTCTCAAAGTTCATGGTGCCCTAGGGATTCCCAAGACCCTTCTAGGAGGTCCGTGAGGCCCAACATTTTCATAAGAATACTAAGATGCTATTGGCCGTTTTCACTGTGTTGACATTTGAGCTGATGGTGAAAGGTACCTTACCACAGATGAAGGTAGTGGGAGCGAGCTGCACGTAGTGATCACTGTTCTCTGTCACAACGCACATGCAGTAAAGGGAAGGAAGTAGCTTCTCTTAAAAATGTACTGGGCTGGGAGCAGGGGCTCACTCCTGTAATCCAAGAGTTTTGGGAGGCCCAGGCAGGATGACTGCTTGAGCCTAGGGGTTCACGATCAGCCTAGGTAATACCGTGAGATCATGTCTCTACAAAAAAACAGAAAAAGTAGCTGGACATGCACACCTATGATCCCAGCTTCCTGGGAGGCTGAGGTGGGAGGATCCAGGAGTTTGAGGCTGCAGTGAGCTATGATCGAGTCACTGAACTCCAGCCTAGGCGACAGAGTAAGAGACTGTCAGACTTTTTTTTTTTGAGATGGAGTCTCGCTCTGTCACCCAGGCTGGAGTACAGTGGCCGGATCTCAGCTCACTGCAAGCTCTGCCTCCCAGGTTTACGCCATTCTCCTGCCTCAGCCTCCCAAGTAGCTGGGACTACAGGTGCCCACCACCGCGCCCGGCTAATTTTTTGTGTGTGTGTGTATTTTTTAGTAGAGACGGGGTTTCACCGTGTTAGCCAGGATGGTCTCGATCTCCTGACCTTGTGATCCACCCGTCTCAGCCTCCCAAAGTGCTGGGATTACAGGCTTGAGCCACCGCGCCCGGCGACACTGTCTTAAAAAAAAGTCCTTGCTGAAGCAGTAAACGTTAATTTCATTAAATCCTGACCCAACTACATGTCTTTTGGTAATCTCTATAACAACCTGAGAATTGCCATAAAACACTTCTGTTGAATTCTGAAGTATGGCAGCTGTGCTGAGGAAAGACTCTTGTGATTGACTTGCAAGTTGGACCAGCCATTTTCATTATTGAATGTTCTTACTTCAAAGACTGACTACTAGACAAACTATGGTTATACAGACTTGGGTATATGTCAGGCATTTTCTCAAAAATGAACCTGTCACGTCAAGGAAAACAACAGGCAGGGTGGACTGCCAATGATAAAATTTGAGCTTTCATCAGAAAATTAAAATTTTGTCTGGGCGCGGTAGCTCACGCCTGTAATCCCAGCGCTTTGGGAGGCTGAGGTGGGTAGATCACCTGAGATCAGGAGTTTGAGACCAGCCTGGCCGACATGGTGAAACCCCGTCTCTACTAAAAATACAAAAATTAACTGGATGTGGTGGTGTGTGCCTGTAATTCCAGCTACTCAGGAGGCTGAGGTGGGAGAATCACTTGAATTTAGGAGGCGGAGGTTGCAGTGAGCCGAGATTGTGCCACTGCACTCCAGGCCTAGGCAACAAAGTGAGACTCCCACCTAAAAAAAAAAAAAAAAAAAAAAAAAAAAATACTGAGTGCAGTGGCTCACACTTGTAATCCCAGCACTTTGGGAGGCAGATCACTTGACATCAGGAGTTCAAGACCAACCTGGCCAACATGGTGAAACCCTGTCTCTACTAAAAATACAAAATAAATTAGCCAGGCATGGTGGTGCATGCCTGTAATCCCAGCTACTCAGGAGGCTGAGGCAGGAGAATGGCTTGAACTCAGGAGGTGGAGGTTGCAGTGAGCCAAGATGGTGCCATTGCACTCCACCCTGGACAACAAGTGAGACTGTCTCAAAAAAAGAAAATTAAAATTTTGGGAAACTTGTAGCCACCACGAGCGTAATAGCTTCTCACAATTAAAGACTCTTCTGATGAGATTGCTGGTGATATTAACAAACGATTTTTTAAAATAATGAATATTGCAATCTGTCAACATTTTGAAGATCTGTATAACTCAGTGAACCAATAATTTTCAAGTGACTATGGCAATGATGTTACAAAATCATGCAAGAGTACACAATCCATTTGGAGTATAAGACAGAACAATGGATTTAAAAAAAAATTCTTATTTTGGAATAATTTTAGACTTACAGAAAAGTTGCAAAGAGTACAGAGAGTTCCTATAAACCCTTTACCCGGTCTCCCCCATTGTTAACATCTTACACTACCATGATATATTTGTTAAAACTAAAATTGACATTGGTACATTACTACTAAGTAAACTCCAGGCTTTATTTGGATTTCGCTGATTATTTCTATAACGTCCTCTTTGTTTTATTGTCTGGTTCAAGGCACCACACCACATTTAGTTGTCACGTCTCTTTAGTCTCCTCTGGTCTGTGATGGTTTTTTGGTCTTTGCTTTTTATGACACTGACAACATTGAAGGGTACTGGTCAGGCCTCCTGCAGAATATCCTCCGATTTGAGCTTGTCTGATGTTTTACCCATGAGTAGAATGGGTTACAGGTTTTCTAGTTACATCACATCAGTGGTTATAAGTCATCACTGCTGACGTTCACCTTTTTCATCATTTGGTTAAGGTTGTGTTTCCCAGGTTTCTCCATTAGAAAGTTACTCATTTTTCCCTTTCCTTAATTCTATTATTTGAAAACAAGTTGCTAAGTCTAGCCTACCGATTCAAGGATGAGAGTTAAGCTCTACTTCCTGGAACAGGGAGGTATCTACATATATTATTTGGAAGGGGGAGTACCTACATATATTATTCAATATTCTTCTGTAAAGAAGATTTCAGGCCAAACGAAGTTAATGTAAGAGTCCAAATGTCCACTGGTATGGTTTCAGATTCTACATTGCAACTAACCTTTAAGAAATTACTGCCTATGGAGTTTTGATGTAATATCAAAGGAGAATACCCATCACTGTCCAAAAAAGCTGATACTCCTTCCTTTTCCAAATACGTACCTGTGTGAGGCCAGATTCTCCTGATATACTTCAACTAACACGTATACCACACACACTGAATGCAAAAGACTGAACCCAGCTGCCTTCCCTTTAGGTTGATTAGACATGCAAAAAGTAAAACAATGGCACTCTTCTACCATTGTTTTATAAAATATTTTTATTAAAAACACTATATTAGCATGCAATGGATTACTGTCCTTTAAATCAACCAATGTTTTGAAGGTCTCCATTTTCTTTTTTATTTTTTATTTTTTTTTGAGACGGAGTCTCGCTGTGTTGCCGGGGCTGGAGTGCAGTGGCGTGATCTCGGCTCACTGCAAGCTCGGCCTCCTGGGTTCACGCCATTCTCCTGCCTCAGCCTCCCGAGTAGCTGGGACTACAGGCGCCTGCCACCTCGCCCGGCTAATTTTTTAGTAGAGATGGGGTTTCACCATGTTAGCCAGGATGGTCTCGATCTCCTGACCTCGTGATCCACCTACCTCGGCCTCCTAAAGTGCTGGGATTACAGGCTTGAGCCACCGCGCCCGGCCCTGAAGGTCTCCATTTTAATTCAAATATATTAATATCAGAAGATAGAACCCACATAAATAAAAGGATTCTGAATCATTTTTAAGAGTTTCAAGGGATCTGAGACTAAAAAAAGTTTAACCCATTTATGTCAGAGGTTGCAAGTTTTTGTGAAAAATCAGACCTTGGTGATGATCTTGAGCAGTAGAATATAAATAACCCCCACAAGCTTAGCATTCCAATAATGGAACACTAGGCATAAATAGGTTAAAGACTGCTGCTTTTGGGGATGGATCACTTGAGACCAGGATGGCAAGGGAAGAACATGAGTCGAACAGTTCTGGATTTGAACTCCAGCAGGCCACTCATTAGCCATTACTAGCAGAAGACCATGAGCAAACATAACTTTTCTGAGTTTCAGTCTCCTTATCTCTAAAGCCAGCCTCATAATTGCTACCGCAATAGAGTTGTTGTGAAGATCAGAGATAATGCTGGTACCCAGCAAAGACACTGCCTGGAATCCACTGGGTGATCACTAAGTGGTAACGCTCGTTATTTTATTAATGTTTTTCCTAAATTCTAAGGCACCATCAACTTATTACCAGCTTAGAGGGAAAAAAACCCACTATATTATTAAATGTACACAGTGATTAGAAGATGCACCTCAGGCAGGGCACAACGGCTCACACCTGTAATCCCAGCATTTTGGGAAGCCAAGGCAGGAGGATCGCTTAAAGCCAGGAGTTTGGGACCAGCCTGGGCAACATAGTAAGAACTCATCTCTATAAAAAAAATAAAAGTGAAGAAGACACATTTCAATCTCAAAGATCTTTTAAAATAGTAAGAGCATCTCTCAAACAACAATATTGGTTTTCCCAATCCAAAGCATGTGAAGTATCTAAAACATATCCATAAATGAAGCCAAAATAGGCATAATCTGGAAACTTCATAATCAGCTAATTTTTGTATAACTTCTGTTTAATGACAGAGTGTTTTCTTGGTGGTGGTGGGGTGCAAGAGCTTTAAATAAAGTTTAGTTACCACTTTAGGTTGGGTAAGTTCGCCCAGATACAACCAGTCACATTAAAAATATTCTGAGGGCTGCATCTGATCAAGTTCCCAGCACTTACGCAGACGCTGGCTCTGGTCCTGCGGATCTGTTAGCCCTTTCTTAACTTGGCAGTCTAAGTCAGCTTCTGCTCTGCCTCAGACCCCCTTCTAGGCAGCCGTGTCTACAAGCCTAGAAGTTTAGATTGTTAGACAATTAGGCGTCCTAAAATTTT